TTTTTACTTAAATGATGAAAAGAATGTATTTCTGTTTAGAGAGATATCTTTTTCTTATTTATTAAAGACTAAAGAAAACGATTTGGCAAAAGACCAATACTTTAAAATCCATTTTAGATAGCCTCCAATTTGTGATAAAATCTAAGATAAAATTTTATTTATTTTTTTATGCCTTGCGTGAGTGTGAATTCTTCAATTGTTTTTAATACAAATAGAATTTTATCATGAATTATCATATAGAGATTGTCTAATATAGATTTGATATTATATTATTGTGGGTTTTACAAAAACCTTAAATTATATATATATTCTTGCATCTACTATATTATATCTGCGTCATTAAAAAAACTGAATCGCCTCTCGAGTGAGATATTTCACGGTAAACCTTATATTCCTCAATTATATATTCCAAGTTAATTCAACGATCTAGTCAATTATCGGTTTCATATTTAGAATATAAATAAAAATGATAAAATAGAATGTCTTTTTCTACTGGTACATCAGGAAAAATGTAATTAACGATACATGAAAAAATAAATCGTAAATATGGAATAAAAGTTTTGCATATGAAACTCTGTTTTTGAAAAAATTAGAAATATGAAAAAAGATATCCTATTTAACATAAATGTGATAAATTATTACGCGCACGGTTATATTCTTTTTAAACACATTTTTACAGATTATTTTACCCAGCACCGTAAATATCGAGAAAGGATTTCCTTATCATTTGATGGAATCTTGGTTAGGCAAAGGGCTTTTACTTTCTACAGGTAAACGCATAAACTCTTTTACAACTATTTTTAATACTTCATTAAAGATGAAAAGTACATTGCAGCTTATACCAGATTATGCGTTTTTGATATATGGTTATTCGCGAAAGCATTTAGAACAAATTACAAGAAAACAGAAGAGTAAAATTTCACTCTAATGCAACTACGTAAATTTTTGTATATATTTACACCTAACAAAAAATGAGATATTTTTTTCGTGTTCTTATCTTTGTGTGATTACTTGTGTAACTGATTTTACATATTATTAATTATTCATATTAATTGGCACGCTTTAAAACGTTAGTCAGTTGTTTGTGGAATTTTCTTTACACTACAAATATTTGGTAGCGATATGCAAAAAAAAAACAAAACTAAAATAAAATATAAAATTGTATAATAAAATGTTCTTTTTCATTTTTATACTAATTTTTGCGCACTTATATTCTTTATGTCTCGTACAATTTTTTTAAGACGTAAATGTATTGTTGATTGAACTGCTTCAGGAAAACAATGGAATCATGATAGAAAACTCATCGGGCCGACGTTCCATTTTAGTATATTGGACCAATTTGCCGTGGTTATATCCGAAAAAGCAGAGATTCTGACAAAATGTCTTGAGAGAGAAATAGCAAAGAACACAGGAAAAGCTATCAATATTTTTCCGTTCGCTAACAATGTTGCTCTCGACATTATATGTGGTAATAAACATATATATATATCACATCATTATAATATATAATATGTCTTGTAGACAAAAGTATCGCTGACACAGTATATTTTGTGCTGCAATAACAAATTTTCAGTTACATGATATGAATAATAAAAAGATCTGTCAAGTACTATAAATTTTAATTTTGCTGAACCAATATATAAGTTCTTTCGTTATAATAATAAATTGATTGCCTATTTATTTATTTATTCATTTATTTCGCTATTAAATCAACACTTAAAAATATGTTTGCTAGAGAAATAGATGATTTTGCTTTAACATTGAATTTATTCTCTACAGTCAAATTTAATCGGCACACAAGATCATTCTATTCTGTTAGTATAATTTCGATGATCTCGATTTCCGACATTGTATATGTATACCAACGCAGAAATCAAATCTTACGTGACATTTTTTATATAATTATGAGAATAAATATATGACTTATTCTCGTAGATATTTAAATATAAGCAAAATTTTATATCAGTTTCGGTATATAAAAATTAATTATTTGACTCAATATTATTTTCGAGAGTTATAAGTATTAATTTTATTCTTTTATGGAATTTGTAAAGAATATAGCATACATTGACAAGCAAGTTATGGCGATAATAATAATAAATAATTATTTTGCAGAGACGGCAATGGGTGTGGATATACATGCTCAAGAAGTTGAAACCGAGTATACCACAACAATACATAGGTTCGAAAAGTCACGAGTTACATTATTTTGTTAGTAATAAAATAGTTAACAGCATTAATGACTTATTAAGAAGATCTGTTTAAGAATTAACAACAGAATTTGTTTGATTAATTTATATTTAATATACTTAATAGCATTAATATGTTATTATATCAGTTTAACGTTTTGATCGTATTTTTAGAAGTTCTAAATTAATAGCCGACCGATTTTGTCAACCGTGGCTTTGGTCAGATTGGTTGTATAACTTAGTGCCTTCAGGAAGAAAATATAATTCAGAACTTAGCAAAATACATAAATTTACGAAAGAGGTACGCGCAAAAAGTAACGCTAATGATACATTTAATACATAATACACTTAATACATAATGTATTAAGATATCGGCAGAATTTTATTAAATTAATTGTTTACACAATTTTTATTGGGATAAATTCAACAAGCTTACAACGAATAAATGATAAATTTCAGGTGATACGTAAGAAGAAGATCGCACGACAATCGGGAAACAGGTCTACCAAATCGGAAAACGAGGATGACGAACTTGATATAGGTATGATTATTAAATTATTAAATTATCGTTATACATATGCTTTGATGGCTTGTGTAAATATTTTTAAAATTATTTTCATGAAATTTATTTCGATAGGTAAGCGAAGGAGGAAAGCTTTTCTGGATCTGTTACTAGATCAGAATGAGAAGGACGAAACTCCGTTAACTGATGATGAATTGAGGGCACAAGTCGACACATTTATGTTCGAGGTGAGAGAAAAATCTTTGAAGTTTAACATAAATTATCAGACTATCAGACTCGGTAATGTTATTATAACTGAGTGTTATAAAATTGTAAAGATATATAATGATACAGGGTCATGATACAACTGATAACTTGGTAACTTGGACGCT